ACGCTGCTAAGGGTGCACGAAAGAAATTGAGGTGAAGCCCAGAGGCCACACAGCTCAAGGCTCGCATGGCTGGTGTGCGGGTCTCGTGTGCGGGTCCCAGGGAAGGCGCCCGGTGGCACCAGTCTCACTGCCCCTGCCCACTCCCTGCAAAACAAAGCTCAATGCTCTTTGAACTTTTTGTCATGTTTTTTGTAAAAGAAAAAATGTTTGGTTTTTAGTTAACGGAAACAGGTACCAACGTGGTCTTTCATAAAAGCAGGGTAGCTGCACACACTTTTGTGTAGACCGAGGTGGTCGCGTGCCTTTTCTGCACCTGGTTTCCTGCTCCCTGGCCCCGCACAGGCCGGTGTGCAATATCCTGTGATGGCCTTTCCCTCCGGTGATTTACCGCTGTCCTGTCCCCGGCAGGTGCGGGGTGCCAGCCTGCTCTGTCGTAGGAGGTCTAGGGGTGTGGGGGCTCCCTGCGGAAATCGGGGAGACGGGAGTTTTGCCCTGCTTTCTGGAGGGCTGAGACCCCGCCCCCTCAAGCCTCCTGCTTCCTTCATAGGGAGAGTGGAGCACGGTTTCCCTGACGTTTACAGAGCTGCTCCTGCTGTCTTTAATCTGTTCTGGAAGCTCTATTCTAGGAATTTTCGGGTGCCTGTGGCGCTCATAACCCCCTTTTCCTGCAGATGCTGGTTACTTGTGTCAGTGCCTGTCCTCACCCCGTTTTCCTGACCGGGGCTGACTAGATCTCTGCGTTTATTAGCAACGTCTAAGAACCAGTAATGCAAATGCATCCAGCCTGGTTTTGGTCTCAAAGAACCGCCTCGGGCTTTGGTTCTTTCCACGACCGTCGGTTTCGTACATTTCTTGCTTGGGGTCTTCTTTTCCCAGTTCCCTAAGGACGCTCATGCCCTTAACTTCCAGCTGCTCTCTTAGGTGCGCTCGTGAGCCTCCGCCTCCCGTCACATTTCACCGAGGCCGGCTCGTTCTGCAGTTGGCGCCAGTGTTCTGATTCCAGCATTTAGGGAGACACTCAGTCCCAACTCTTAGGGCGCTCCTTCCCGGGCTCTGCCTTCTGGGGGCGGATCACTTAGTGCAGGTAACGGCACCGCTCGGGTTGCGTGTGCGAGGAGGCCACGCCTCCACCCAGACACTTTCTCATCTCTGCCCTCCGCCCCTGGCACGGTCGTGTGCGGTGGTCCCCCAGGACTTGCCCCACCTCGTCAAAAGCCCTGGGAGAGATAGGGGGCCTTGCCTCTGCTCAGAGGTGGGGTGGGGTAGGGGCACCAGGCATCGGGTCTCTGCCCCACACCCCTCCCCTCCCCTCCTCCCTCGCTGCTCCTTCTGGCCTCAGCGTGACAGATCATTTGCTCTGACACCCCTTATTTTACAGGAAAAAGGTTTATGACCGATGATTGCATTTGCGTGCTGGGAATAAGCAAAAGAAACCTCCTTTTCCAACCTGTGGCACAACTGAAGAAGGAAACAGACTTCGAGTAAGTAAATAAAACAGCGCGTGTAAACCTCACTGCCCTTAGAAGCGTGAGCGACAGAGGGACGCCGCTGCTGGGGTCACGGTCAGTAACTCGTTATCGCAAGTGACTCGGAATTAACACGAGACGTAGAAGCGGCAGGATTTCTAGGAGCGTATAAAACGGTGTTGCGTACCTCGTGAAACTGCTCGATCGTCCACGCCTCCCTGGGCCGCCTCGGCTGGCGCGGGCAGTCCTCACGGCCGCTTCCTCCCGTCCGCAGGCACCGGATCCCCAAGGAGCAGTGGTGGCTGAAGCTGCGGCCGCTCATGAAGATCCTGGCCAAGTACAAGGCCAGCTACGAGGTGTCCGACCCCGGCCAGCTGGAGCACGTGCACCACCGAGGCCACGAGGAGCCTGCCGCCATCTAGACGCCGCCGGCCCGCACCGCCCGGCTGGCGCTGCTTCCGACTTCCCGTTTACCGCCCGTTTTTGTAACACTTAAGTTATTTATCGGCACTTTGCGTGAGTTCTGCTGACATTAACACCCGGTCACAGAGCCCCCGTCCTGTCTCCCTCTCCCCGTGGACCCCAAGGCTCCAGCACGACTTGTCTGCTGCGTCTCCTACTGTTTCCCGCTTTCAAACATGTGTATCCAGTAGAATTAAACGTTTGGCTAAAACTCCAACCATGGGACTCAATTGAGTTTTTTAGGTAGGCACTTAAATCCTCAGGATAAAGGTTTTGTTGGCAGTTTTACGGGCAGGTATTGACGGAGTGTTTTGACAGGGATCAGTGCACGTTCCGAGTCATCGCGGGCAACAGAGATGCCGCTTTGACACACGGTACACTTGCCAGGTGCGTGGAGGTGGCCCAAGTCCCAAAGTGACTCCACACGTGGAGTAAGTGATAGAAACTGGGAATGTGTCTTCAGAACGAGGTGAGCTCACACAGCGGACTTCATTCCCAGCCGCACACTGACGCCAAGGTTCTCCTACCGAAGAAGCAAGTCAGTGTCCGGTGGGACCCACGCTCGGGGCTGTGGGCAGTCACAGGCAGAGGGACGGGGACGGCCCTGCTTCCCTGAGGGCAGTAAGATGGTCACCTCACATCTGTGTTCAGTGAAAAGCATTCCTGCCTGTTCTGTCGTCTAGAGACGCGAAATGACCCGGGCTACAGACCCGAATGCAGGAAAGGCATCGTCCGGAGATCTGCTGAGGGGCGGAGGGCGGAGAGGCAGACGGGGACCAGCACCGAGCGCGCTTTCTGTCTGAAATATGCACAGTGAGCAACACGGGAGACGGTGGGAGAAGGGTAATGCTTACCAGGCCGCCCTGGGTATCACCCCTCTGTTCCAGACTTTTCCACGGGGCCTGGCTGTGACCACACTGGTTCACACATCAATGCACGTCGGATACCTCTGTTCACTTACTCATTTTTTAATAAGGGCCCCAGGAGCTCCTGTAGCAAACGGTCATTTAAAATAATGACTAAAGAAAGTACGGGTGAATCAGAGTTGCCCTTTATTTTTAAATTTTTAAAATAAATACTCCATGATTTGTAGGTAAAATAAGGACTTAGACGATGAGAAACTCTGAGTTACAATCTGTGTGTCTCTAACACTGAATACACCATCATGATCATCTCTTTCCTTCTAAGGGAGGAGTTTGGTCTGACCGGCCACACAAGAGTGACACGTGACCAAGATGGGGTGGGGGGAGGGAGGGACAGTAACTTTCCCACCTTTCAAGTTAAATTAGCTCAGGCTTCCCTTCAAGGGCCATGCCTGCCTGTCATCCCATCCCACTCCCGAGCACAGACGTGTCATCTGACTATCCATGACGGGTCCTTAGCGATTTTTGCGTTCTCCGGTCCGAGCAGGGCCAGGCCACGTGTGCCCCTCCCGACGCCGAGGTACCTGGAGGGGGGGTGGGGGTAGGTCAGGGTCAGGGCCGTTCCCGCACGCGAGCCTTCGCGGGCCGCAGGCTCCGGACACTCGTCACGCGGCACTTACTTGTCGCTCACGGCGACGAGACTGTCGTGGCTGACGGCAAAGAGCTGCTCCCGGTGCACCTGCTTCAGCTCGTCCGAGAGGCCGTACAGGAAATGGTCCAGCCCTGCGGGCATCAGAAAAGCCAGTTCCCACGCTGACCTGCTCCAAGGGCACCCGGTGGACACTCTTGCAGCAAAGGTCAAGCTGTTGCGTGGCCCCTTCCCGCAAAGCCTCTCCCCCAGCCAGGGGCGGAAGCCACGCTGCGGGGGGGTGCCCCTCTGGCACCTCCCCCCAGCACCCCTGGGCCTCAGACCACTCAAGCCCTGGAGTGATGGAGCCCCCGGACCCTGCCCGAGCGTGTGTGTCACCGAGGAGGCGGGGACCTGGCAGAGCTCAGACCGTGTCCGTCAGGAACAGCAAATACCTCTGTCTGAAGGAGGCACAGGGGCGTCCACGGAGGCGAAGACGGAGAGCTTGGCCTCGTCGATGTCCTGCTGTGTGAATCGCCCAGCCTTAGCCCAGTCGACGGCCTTCGCAAAAGACTGGAGCGTTTCTGTCGAATGCGGGTCCCTAGGAGGCCAGAGAGACTCACGCGTTCGCCCCTTCACCCTTACACCCTCTGATTTCACAAACAGAGGAAACCACGTGGACAGGGAAGAAGGCTCACGCGGACCAGACCCGCTGAGGATGGTTGGATAAAGCCCCTCAGTTCCTTAAGGAGCACCCAGAATGTCCTCATAAGCAGCCGTAAGCGGGCCAGTCTGCAAGGACAGCTGGGGAGCCCTCCCCGCTCTGCGCACAAGTCCTTGAGGCCCCGCGGGACCTGGGGGAGGCGGGGGCGGCAAACTCCTCCTTCCAGCAGATTTCTAACTCAGGTCCGCGGAAACTCAGGAACTGGTCTAAGGAAAGGGCGGGAGCAGTCAGGGCACGACAGCTCCACGCCTGGCACCCACACCGGGCCTCTGGGATCGCTCGGAGCCCGGAAAGCTCTCAGCTCCTGTCCTCGGCAACTAAATCTTGGTCTCGGGTAACCGCAGTATTTAAGCCAAAATGTTTCCCGTCACTACTGCGTCTCCTAGACACGAACAACCCAGAGGACACTGCTGGGCGTGGTTTTGCGTCCAAGAAGCGAGAAACAAGGGGAAACGCTTCTCTTTCAAAGGCTCGCCCGCCGCGCGTACACGCAGCCCTCGGGTGGTGAGCGGGGCCTGTGGCGGGGAGCGCGGGGCCCACTCACCGGTAGGAATAAAACGTGAACATCCCGTCGCGGCCGAGTCTAGCGCCTGCGCCGTAAGCGCCGCCCTTCTCTCGGATTTCTGTGTGCAAGAACTTGGCCGTCACGAGACGCGCGAGGACCTTGAGGCTGAGATGGATCGAAGACCGCGTGTTACAACCGCACCCTTCCCGCCAGAAGGCTCTCACTTAACAGTGACACACGCTCCACCGTCCCCTTCTCTAAGGCCGAGAACACACACGGGGAGAAAAATCGGACACGAGTTTCCAAACGGGGGCTGTGGGGAGAGGTGGGGACAGGGGTGGGGCGCCCCTCTCGACTTGGGACAGCGCACAAGGGGCACTGAAGGTCTCATCGGGTGAGGCCCCGAACCTCATCGCTCGGGCACACGGACAGACCCTCGTTCATCTAAACCCCCACCTGCCCTCTCTCTCGCTCTCTCCCGAAACACGGGGAGCTCTTCGGTACGTTTCTGCGGGGACCCTCCCTGAGAAAACACTCCAACAGAGCGAGTTCTACCGGTGGGTCCCACATTCCTGTTGGGGGCTCACGTCCTGGGAGAGAGAGCTGGAAGCTTCCAGCAGGCATCCTCACAGGACAGAGAGCGGCCACGCCCGGAGCCCCCCAGCCCTCCACACGTTAACTGGAGGAGTGAACGGGTGCCCCTCCGGACGGCGGTGGGGCTCGCCTTGTGGGCGCTCCGGGCCAGACCTGGGCAGACGGGCTCCCCGCATCCCAGCAGGGACCGGGGGTTCACCCCCATGTATTGTCAAATATTCTGTGTGCTATAAGGAACACAAGTTCACAGTTGGAAAACTGTAAAATACAAAGGAAGGGGGAAAAACGATACTCCTCCTCCCCAGGAGTGCTTACGACACGTTCGTGCTTTAAATGTACTTAACAGAACTGCGTGGCCTGGTCTGCGTGGCTTAGTGTACAGAGCACAAGTTCCGTTCCTACGAACGTAGACCCCCCTCTCCCTCGAGCCCAGCAGCAGCCCTGCGCCCTCCTGGGCCCTCCCCGGCCCCGCACCTGGCGTGGTCCGGGTCCGTGTAGGGGGCGGTCCTCACGCATTCGCCCACGTGGTTCACGGGGAAGGGGAGCAGGAAGTGTGTCTTCATCTGGTGTGGTTTGAAGGTGGGGTCCTGAGGGGACAGGCATGGCCGTGCTGGCTCCCACTTGCAGGCTCACGGCCAAGGGCAGGGCGCTGACCCCCGTCACTCCTCACAGCTTCTTGCTTTACGATGAAATATCCCAACCCCGACCCAAGGAACACGTAGTTCCTCAACTAGGAGCATTCCCTCCTACGTGGTCTCTACCCAGCCTGCTGCGTGACCCTGTCTTTGCATTCGTCCCCAGACACACGTTAAGTCTTCGCATCTGTGATGAACCACACCACCGTCACGCCCCTAAGGCAGCGTGGGAGGGGCCGCAGCGCCGACTGCACAGTTCGAGGTGAAGGCAGCCGGCCGGGACGCCACAGGAGCACAAGGCCCCCGGGACGTGTCCCCCACACCAGCAGGGCACGCACAAGCCGCACTGCTCCTCCCAGGTGACAGGGGCCGTGTGAACTTACCGTGATCAGCTTCCTTAGGACTCGGGGGCCGCTAATGTGCGTGCTTCCACTGGACCCACTGGGGGCGGGTTTCTGAAAATAGTTTCCAAGAGAAGTGAGAAAGCCCCCAAACTCACCTGATACACTTCAGGTCTGGTCACGAAAATTCAGAGCCAGTGACAGGCGTGAGGGCACACATGCTAAGTGTTTTAAACCAGTGTAATGTCTGCAGGTTCTCAGAGCCTCAGGGAGAGGCAAGGCTGTCGCTGGAAGACAGGCCGACCAGTCCTGACCGGGGAACGGGCACAGGGACACAGCGGAGGGGGGGCAGAGTCCTGTCTGCAAAGCCTGTGGATGGTCACCCTTCCCCGCACGAAGATGCACTCTGCAAGCTAACAGAGCAGACTGGCCTCTGCCTGGGAGGCCGGGACAAACGTCCGCGCGATACAGAGTCCCCTTGAGGGGCCTTGCCAGCAGCCGGGAGACCCGCCTGAGCAGGAGGGTTTCTGGCTGCTCTCCCACTAGCACAGAGGCTCTCAAACCCACTGCTTTTCCGCATCAGGAAAGCGCCCACTGCAAAGGCCCACGTGACAAGAAGGGAACGCAGGATGGAAGGCCGGACGGTGGGGTTTGAATTAAGCTCTCACCTGGGTTGACACTGGGCAAGCTACTTAACCCTGCTGTCCTCTGCTCCCTCCCCTCAACGGGACATGATGGGGGCGGCCGCAGATGTAAGCACTGGGGCCCATGCCCGGCAAGGGCTCACCTCGACCACGGACAGGTGCCCCGGCTTCCACTCCGCCTTACTCCGACCGACGTTTCGAACAAACTTTTCGACCTCTTTTTCTGCCAGAGACATCTGCTGAGGCATAGCATTCACGGAGCATCTGTTCAAAAAGCCATATATACGTAGGAGAGCTTTACTGAAAAAATAAAACACTTTTACTAATTCATCACGTTTTGCATGAACGACACAAAGGAGTGAATACTACGTATTTACTTTTTGTACCAAATAATGTTTGAACTGTTAAAGAGAAACAGTAGCCAAATACAAAAGCAATAGAGCCGTCTTCTCCAAAAAGGCTCCCCCGTTATTTCAGTGCTGCAGGTGGGGACCAGCCGTCAGGACATAGTGGCCACACGCCTGACACTGACTGAACTGTGTCCTTGTCCCTTAAGGAGAACACACAACGTATCGCCATCTGCCAAGGGCTTACATTATCTGAAGGTGGAAAACCTAAATTACTGTCTAGGAGGAAAATCAATTTGAAAACATGCACCGGTCATTAAAGCGGAGAAGTTTAAGTTGCCAAGGAATTACCATGCTCTCCAAAACTATTCTCACACGAGTCTCCTCAATTCCACGGCGTCACAAACCCTGCTATCACGTACCGGTCGCTTGAACGGTACAGACCACAGATGCTGTCCCTCTTTTCCTTTGGACCCCAGCCCCTGAGTTCCTGTCTCTAACTGTAGGTACACCCAGATCGGTGCTAACTGTTCCAGACGCTACACCAACTGCTTCGCACACAGTCGTTCATTCCCTGCCATAAATACATGAAGCAGTGTTTTATGGAGAAGGAAACAGAAGGTCCGAGTGGTCACAGTGCTTAAGACACCTGCCCTCCCAGGGATGCCTGGGTGGCTCAGTCGGTTTAAGTGTCTGACTTTGGCTCAGGTCATGATTCTCATGGTTCATGGGTTCGAGCCCCGCGTCAGGCACTGTGCGGACAGCTCGGAGCCTGGAGCTGCTTCGGATTCTGTTTCTCCCTCTCTCTTTCTGCCCCTCCCTTGCTTGTGCTCTTTCTCTCTCTCTCAAAGGTAAATAAACATGAAAACAATTTTTTTTGAGGACAACCGTCTTCCCAGTGGTCGGGGAGAACCTGCCGTGATTCCTGAGGACCAAAGGGGAAGACACTGGGGAGCTCTAGAAAGACTAGAGGCTAATCTAGATCTGTGTCCTTGACAGTGAGATGCCAAAAATACACCGTCAGTCATTTTAAAATTCCCTTCACGCTCACAGACCTGAGGGCTCAGGGCCGACTGACAGTCATGGGTGCCACGGCTTCCCTCATCCCATCAGGCAGCTGTTCTCACAAGAGACGCTGCGTGTTCACTCTGGTCTCGAGCGAGCGGACCTTCCCTCGGGCTCACCGACTGCTTGCTTATGGAGCATGTGCGGTTTTACTTTTGGAACCACCGTAACTAAACGTGTGCAAGAACTCTACTTTGCAGTTGTTGGGTTAAATTAGCTTGCTTCCTCCCCACCCTCCACAGCTGTTATTATTCTCAAATATGTTTCTCCCGTGAAGAACGCGTTCTTGGTTATCAGAGGGCGTGAGGGCTAGAATGCGACTGCCGAGCGGAAGGCAGGTTTGTGCTGCCGCCTCGAGGGAGACACGTCTGACGGCCGCACTTTGGGGAGCGGGGAGAGCGGGAGGAGGGCTGCCACGAAGCCGGCGGGAGCCCCACCTCATGTTGTCACGGTTCAGCACGTGCTTCGTGATGCGAGGCAGCTTCCTCAGGACCTGCCCGATGTCGCTCATGCCCATCATCCTCTTCATCAGCTTCACCTGAGCCGGAGAAAGCCACACCTGCACGCGGGCCCCCAGGCACCCGTGCCCGTCCGGAAGCCAAACCCCGACTCGAGAATCTGGCCGTGCCGTGTGTGGGACCCGCCGGCCAGGCTTGGGGGTGGGGGGTGGGGGGAAGAAGGTCAATTACAGGAATCTTTCCCAGTAAAATGCGATCGGCTGGAGTTAGCTCTCCTGGGACACAACAGTCCGGCACCAGCGCTGGAGACCCCGGCCGGTGAGTCACCTGGTCCATCCCGCTGAAGGTCTCCTGCAGGTCCCCCGCCGGTGTCAGGGTCCTGCCGGCTCGGACCATCGCGTACAGATGCCCCGAGTCAGGCACTCCGTTGGACAGCTCTTGAGCGGACATCGTAACCAACACTCGGAAATATTCTTCTTCTTCAAAGCATGGGCTTCGGGGAAAATAAAAACGTATTCAGTTCCCGGAGACCCGGCCACACCCCTTTTGAGATCCGGAAAGTTCATTAAATGTCGGTTTCCAGACGATGCGAACACCGTCAGAAATTGTACACGTCCACAGGAATGACAACCAGGATGCAGGCAGAAACCACAAACGACAAACGAGTAACAACTCCTGCTTTCACAACACTGGAGACTCAGCCCCCTGATCTAGCCCCAGGAGGAAGGTCTTTACAGACAGTTACCTGTGGAATATCTCACTCCACAGCTGCATCATGTCTGGCAGGTTTCTATCGAGGCAGAAGGATGAAAACAGCACACCCTAAACCACGCAAAAAGGAAGAAATGACGACTTAATTTCAGGGACAAAGAACACGCTGAAGCAACGCCGTGGAGCGCCCAGTGACGCAGAGGGAACCGCTACCTGCTCGTACACGTCCAGGTGCGTGCCATCAGGGATCACGTGGGGCGACGCGGCCATGCCCCCCGTTTTCAGCTCGATCTGCTGAGCCTGCTGTCTGTAGTCCAGAAGGCCGCAGCCCAGCCTGTCAGAGCAAAGAAGGGTTCCCCCACCGCCGGTGTGGTCTGGGCCGTGTCACCCTCCGCTGTGAGCCGCTGGCACGACCGTGGCCACAGCCTCCAGCGACCCGCATCCACGCCCCTAACCACACCTGCCCACCGCTCGCGCCCCATTCCAGGCGGACACGACGTGTGCGGGGACTCCAGTCAGCGGCATCCCGCCCGCCCGGCCCACAGGCGGCCACCGCCCGGCGCTAAGCACGGAACCCTAAGCCCTGCTTTGCAAGGCCGAGCTTCCACGTTCTTAATGCTTCCTGTTCTCTCTGCTTCTAAAACGTTCTGGCCCAGATTTCATCTGCTCAAGTGTTCGGTCTCAGAAAGGAGATCTGGAGAACCGGCCTCTGTGAGCTTTTAAGAAAAGAAGTCCTCTCGGCACGGGTGATGCTTTTGCAAGAAACAGCCTAACCCTAGCTCCCAAGGTAAGAGAGGCCGGAGGCCACGGTGACACCCGTGAGGCCCCCCAGAAACGGCTGTGCCGTGAAGGACAAGTGGGGGGGCTGTGTTCAAGCAAGGGCAAGAACGCCGCAAAGGTCGGAGGTGCCTTCCCATGACCTCTGCTAAGGTGCACGGGACATGAAGCCCACGTGTGTGACGGGGCACCAGCCTACTTGCTACGGGGTTCCATCCCCCTGGTGTCCCGGCACACGGACACGGAGCTGCGGCCCCGCCACGGCCAGCCACGGAGACCCAGAAGAGGAGCGGGCCGTGGGGCCACGTGCGGCCTGCCGTGATCTCAAATCCACCCGGACGCCCGCTCTACCAGGGGTCATGGCGTCACACAGCTCAGTGGAGGCCACACGGCCTCTCCGGGTCACCCCCACGCCTACGTGGCCGACGTGAGGACGTTTTCTGATCAGGACACCGTTGTTTTCGCAAAAGCACTAGGGCTTTTCCAAACTAAAACGACTCGCTAAAAGGTGATCGCCGACGCACCGAGACACAGCAGCTGCGCGTCCGTGCAGAGACCCACCCCAGGCCCTTACTTGGTGAGGACGCTGCAGAAGAGGGGCACGTAGGGCCGGAGCTCCTCGGGAAGGGTGTGCAGGCTGCAAAACGCTCTGAAGTACACCACGCCGTTGGTGGGCTGGGCGCAGTACTGCACGGGGGTCTCGCCGGCTGCGGGGGCACAAGCAGCCCACTTCTCAGTCACCTCCTCACTCTTCGGTATGCCCTCCTCAAATGCTCCCCACTGAGGACACCCACACCCCCAGCCAGGCCCAGACGGAAGGGGCGTTCCTCGGGCCCTGCGGCTGCCCTGCCCACCGCCCCCCCCCGCCCTGCGTGCGGCCGTCTGCGCGGTCTCGGGGGGGCTGGCAACACCCGACCCCGCTCCCTTGCCCGTCCCATGGTGAAGACGTGGGGGACGTTAACCCCGCTTCCCAGAGGCCTCGTCCACTTATGTGCACACACACTACCCAGTGGTGGTAAACACAAGGAGCCACGTTAAGACAAAGCGGAAGCGAGGGTGCTTCTCAAGATCAAGGCGATCCCATGACCCGAGTGACACAGCCCACGTGTGGGCTCCTCAGGCACGTGCCCCCACTTGCCCACAAGCGGCAAAGTGGGCGAGACGGGAAGGAGCCGGCAGGGGGCATCGCCACCCCCCCCACACCCCCACTCCCAGCACGGCCACGCACGCGCTCCAGCTCCCCACGCGGCCGGCCACCTCCCCCGGACGGGGCTGGCTGGGCACGAGGGTGCCGGCGTGGACACAGAAACAAGACCGAGCCTCCCACTGACCTGCCAGGGCCACCTCCAGGTGCGTGAGCGGGATGGTGGGCTCAATGTCCGACACCTTGAGCGCTGGCAGGCAAGACGTGTCCTGAGCTTTGCTCTGCTGAGTCTGTAATTCCAGACCTAGAACCACGCAGAGTGACGAGCAATCAGGGCAGGAGCTGGGAGGTCTGACGACCCGCTCGCCTGCGCTCGGGCCAGCCCTCACGGATGGCAGCCACCCGGGGCACCGCGGCTTGCCAGCTCTGCCGTTGCCGAGCAAACCCAACTCGGCACGACAGCCTGCCCGGGAGGCCGAGCTTTCCTAAGTGCCCTCCTGCCCACGACGTGAACGGAGAGCTGTGCTGGGGCCACTGCTGTGCTGAGGGCCGGGCTGGGCTTGCTCAGGCTCCTCTCCACCCCACCAGACTGTACTAGAGCCTGAATGCTCAGCCCACTGCTTTCAGACTTCCAACCCATTCCTTGCTGGACCGGAATTTCGTAACTTTCGCACTTGCTTTGTCTCCTTTCAGCCGTGCCAGCCTCAGCACGGTGCGTGTGCAACCACGGGTTTTGCACGTTCTGCAAATGCTCCAGCAGACATTTTCTCGGCCTGACCTCTCACAGCTCCCGAAAGAGGGGAGAGGCCCCTCCTTCCGGAGTCACAGAACCTCGCAGCCCGTCAAGGCGGGAACCCCAGAGGCTCGGCGCAGAGTCTGCAACGGTGCACGAGGGAAAAACACTGCACGGTCTCCAGTTCCGTCAAACAAACAGCTTCATTTCTCGCGCGTCCGAGGAGCTGAGTGGACCTGGCCTCCGCATCTACCTCCAAGGTCCCGACACCTGACAGCAGACTGCCAGCCTGTCCCGTGGGGGCCCATCCCCGGCACAGCACCGTTGCCGAGGCTAGCCCACAGCCCTCACTCTGGGAGACGCCAAGGAGTGGGCTCTTGGCGGCTTCCTGCAGACTGCCAGGCCCCCACCAGCTGTGGGCTGACTCCCCCACCCTGCCCCTCCACGTCACCTGGGTGTGCAGGCGGGAGCTCAGGAGCCTGCCCCGTCCAGGTCTAGGGCCCCCTGGTCCTGGGCGGCACCCTCACCTCAGCACCTGCTCTCCCAGAGTGCCCGGGGTCAGCGCAGAACTCTCCGGCAGCCCGTCCTCTGCCAGGTGACAGGCTCCCGACGGCGGGGCCAAGGCACGTGACCGGTGACGCAGACGCCCCAAACTGGAAGACCGTTCCAAGTCAGTCTCCCGCCCCACCGTTCCCACCGCGCTCCTCTACAGAGTAAACTCGGACGCATAGACCGCTCGAGCTGCAGTCCACACCCGGGACGTACTGGCCAGAAAGACCCCTCACGTGCCCCAGCACCGTGTCACACTTAACGGAACTGCGCAGTGATCTGCAAGCGAAAAACACGTTTCCGTAATGTGGGCCTCCGTCCGCTCACATGCGAGTGTGGACCAGAGCACATGGGTTTTCTTAGAACCGAGCACATCTCGGCGGCCAGGCCAAGAGTCCGGCAACTCCAGGAATGTACCAGGTCGGGTTGCTCAGGCCTACAATTACGCTCCGGGCCACAAAGGGCGTTAATCAAAAATGGAAAACAGGTGGGGCTGCAGCAACTAAAAGCTTCTTCACAGCAAACCACCAACAAAACGAAAAGCAGTACGGAATGGGAGAAAATATTTGCAGATTGCATGTGATAAGGGGTTAATAGCCAAATATATAAGAACTTGTACAATTCAGCAGCAAAAAAGCCTGAATAACCTGATTAAAAGTGGGCAGGGGATCTGAACAGACGTTTCCCCAGAGGAGTCATCCAGAAGGCCGACAGGCCAAAATGAGAAGATGCTCAACATCACAACCACCAGGGAAACGCAAATCAAAACCACCACGACCTGTCAGAGTGGCCAGAATCAGGAAGACCAGAAGTGTGGGCTGGTGAGGGTGTGGACAACGGGGAGCCTCGGGCACCGCTGGTGGACAGAGCGCGGGGCAGCCGCCGCGGAAAACAGACGGAGGTCCCATTCCATCACAGGATCGAGCAATTCTGCCGCTGGGCATTTAACTAAAGAAAACAAACTCTCACTTGAAAGGTGTCTGTACCCCCACGTCCGTTAATGTTGTCCACGACGGCCAAGATAAGGGAACCACCTGGGTGTCCATCGATGGGGGAAGATGTGGTTATACGTACAATGGATTATATTCAGTCGTAAACAGAGAATGAAATCTTGCCGTTTATGACAATACAGAGGGCATCATGCTAAGTGAAATGAGGCGGAGAAAGACAAACACCTTGTGATCTCACGCACACGTGGCATCTGAAAAAGCAAACGCCAAGCTCGCAGCGACGACAGACTGGTGGATGCCAGAGGTTGGTGGGAGGCGTGTGAGGGATGGGTGAAAGGGTCAAAAGGTACAAACTTACAGTCTAAAGTCACGGCACGGACCGCACAGCACGGGGACTGTAGGTGAGAACGCTGTGCTGCATGTGTGAAAGTGGCTAAGACAACAGATGTCACGAGTTCTCATCCCACGAAAGACAAATTGCAACTGTGTGGGGACAATGCTGACTAGCTGCCCTGTGATCATTTTGCAAGTTGTACAAATGTCAACTCACTGCTATATCCTGAAGCTAAAATAATGCTGTACCAGCTGTATCTCTTCCTTATGAACTTATTAATAAATCCATTTAGAAGACTGTCCTCGGACAGAGAACATATCCAATATTAAACGTATCAGAACAGACAGTACAGCTGACCTCAGCCAAAAGGCCAAGAAGCAATCAATTAATTACACCTCAGTTTAAAAAAGGAAGACGGAACTTGACGACCAGCACTCATAAAACAGAAGGAATTATTATTATATTACTCACAATTAGCGAGCTCCGTTTACGATTACTCACAATTAGCTGGCTACATTCATGAAGAGCTTAAAAGAGCTGTATGCAAAAACCAGAAACCAGAACTCCAAGGTAAAGAGTAACAACTTACATGCTCAAATTACCTTTACTAGATAGACTAAATCATCTGAACCTTAGCGTTACTGACTTCCTACCTAAAGCCAACTCCGCTGCCCGATAAACCTGATAATCCCTCACGTGATCCCAGCCAACTGCTATCCTGGCGGGGTGGCCGTGTCCCTGTGTACTGCAGATCTATTCTGATAGACTTTATTTATTCGTGTAATTTACCTACGCTAAAACCCACAGGTTTAAAGATACAATTCAATAAATTCTACAAACGCGTAAAGTTGTATAATCATCACATTGCGGTATCATTTCCGCCCCCAAAAAGTTCCCTCCTGGCTCCCTGCAGGCAACCCCCGGGCTCACGCGCCTTCTGTCAGTATAGTTTCACCGCTTCTACAGTTTCATGTAAATGACTCACTGGGCAGCAGGCACTGTTTCGGCCTGGCTAACTTCACTTAGCACAATGCTTTTGAGGCTCTCGTCACTATGAAGTGCATCGTACTCTGCTCCTCTTTGTGGCTGAACAGTGTTGTCACTGCACAGATATACCGGGCTGATGGAAATGTGAGCGGTTTCCAGTTTGTGTGGACATGTGCTATCGTTTCTTTTGGGCACATCATGTGGAGGAGACCACTGGGCCTTACGGTGTGTTTAGCCCAGGAAGGGATTAGGTACCCGTCTCTGTCTGCACCCAGGCCTGCGCCACCCGGCCCCCCGCCATGTGTCACGACCGGGGGGAGTATGTTCTGAACTCCCCAGTGGATGCCTGAAACCATCGATAGGGCCAAACCCTGTATATACGTACGCATAATCAAGTTCAATTCATAAACTCGGCACGGCAAGAGTGACAACAACTGATGGCGACACAGAGCAGTGACAACGATGAACTGAAAGAAAGGTTACGTGAACGCGGTGTCTGGCTCTCTCCAAATGCGTCCTTGTGCTGTGGGTGAAAGACATGACAGATGCAGGCACCATGACACAGCTCTGACAACGCACAAGCAGAGTCGCTCCCAGCCCTCGGGTGACCGTGGGTCACAGGGTGTGTGTGTGGGGGGCGGACCACAGTGCCTTTCCTCTCTAGCGTTCCTCCTTTCCTCACCCACAGGATGAAGCTTCTGAGAACAGGGCGATCCTACTGGGGTTGAAGCCATCGCATCCAACTGTGACCTTTGTCGGTGCCCAATAAATACGTGTTAGTTCAAATGATACTTGCCTCCAACTATCCTCTCGTTTCACAAAGTTCACTGGGGTTGGGGGAAGGCTTAGGGAATTAGGACGAAACTAAACATCTGACCTTTTTCATAGATCTGCTTCTTGTCTTTCGGGGAAAGACAGTCGATCTTCTGCTTCAGTTTTTCTGTCTCCTTCTGTGTTTGTTTCTCAAAATACTTGTCATCGGGTTTCATCAACAAAGTCAGCTTATGTGGATTATTCTGCAGAAGGCACAGCAACAAAAAGAGAAGCTGAAACAAGTTTCACTGGAGGCCAACCTGCTGACGAGCCGCTAGCGCCATTCCATGGGCCGGCAGGTGCACCACCCGTTTTAAATAGCCATGACGATAGAACATACCTCAAAGGTGGCCCTACGGAAAGTGCACGAGCCGCGTGAGACCCCAGCTGTCACCCTCACACACGCTGTTCTTCTCACTACTGGGTGCTTACTGTTACGGTTACTAGGTCTAAACCAGGAACCTATTGATGTTGAACATTCTCTTTATACCTTACTTGCACATTTGGACATTATAAATCTTTGACTTTAGTCTAAATCAAAAAGAACTGAAGAAACTAATGTAATGTTTATCTAGACTTCTTAAAGGTTAGAACTAAATTCTTCAGGATTTTGTCAATTATGAGGACAAAGTAAATATCCACCTAATGTAAAAATGTTAGATTATTTAATGTGCGTCTCTCACTCAACAACACACACACACACAGCACACCTGTCTGTAGCACTACAGAGAGGAGAGAGAACCGCACTAGAATACCAACTTTATACAAAGTAACCTGTAGTAACAGATGGCAGGTCGAGTGGCCGACCTATGCCCTACGTCCAAAATATGTGCCCATAATATGTGCACAGTGCACAACCGAGCGACCCTTCACTACACAACAGTCCAAGCCCCATGGTGAAGCCTTCTAAGTCCCACCACATTCATGGTCATCTTCCATGGAACACACACCAAGTACAATGCCCTAAAGCAATGCAAACAAATGAGCAAGCATCAAAAGAATCCATCATAAAGACCAAAATACCCACACATTTAAGGGACTGTTGTATTCTCGACAAAAGTCAAGGCTTCACCCAGGTGAATTCTACCAAATGTTTAAAGAGTTAACATCTATGTTCCTCAAACTACTCCAGAAGGCACTACATAAAAGAAAACAGGAGGCCAGTATCCCTGATAGACACAGATGCAAAATCATCAATAAATTATCAGCAAACCACATTCAACACTAACATTAAAATGATTACTCGCTGATAGAGGCAGAAAAAGCATTTGACAAAATTCAACATATGTTCATGATAAAAACTATCAACAAAGTGGAGTTAGAGGGAACACAGCTGAGCATGACGAAGGCCATGTATGGCACACCAAGGGCTAACATCACACTCAAAGGGGAAAAACTGAGAGCTTCTGCTCCAAGATCAAGAACAAGACAAGGATGTCCACTGTCACCACTTTCTTTTTTTTTTAATTTTTTTTTTTTTCAACGTTTATTTATTTTTGGGACAGAGAGAGACAGAGCATGAACGGGGGAGGAGCAGAGAGAGAGGGAGACACAGAATCGGAAACAGGCTCCAGGCTCTGAGCCATCAGCCCAGAGCCTGATGCGGGGCTCGAACCCACGGACCGCGAGATCGTGACCTGGCTGAAGTCGGACGCTTAACCGACTGCGCCACCCAGGCGCCCCATGTCACCACTTTCATTCAACACAGTCCTGAAGTCCTGGCTGTAGCCATCAGACAAGAAATATAAAGGCATCTAAATCAGGCAGGACGAAGTAAAACTGTCACTGTGTGTAGATGACATGATACCATACAAAGAAAACCCTGAAGAGTCCACCAAAAACACTGTGAGAATAAACGAATTCAGAAAATTAATACATAGATATTGGGTGTTTTTATACACCAATACAAAGGTAGTAGAAAGAGAAATTAAGAAAACAGTTCCATTTAGAAGTGCACCAAAAAGAATAGTACGCAGAAATAAGCCTAAGCAAAAAGTCGAAAGACCTGTGCTCTGCAAACTCGGAAACACTGATGAAGGAAACTGCAGACGACACACACAGAAAAGACACACCATGCTCACGGACTGGAAGAAATCACACTGGTAAATGCCTACACTACAAAGCACTCTACAGATTCAGTGTAATCCCTATCAAACCACCAACAGCATTTTCCACAGAACTAGAATAATCCTGTAATGTTTACGGAACCCAAAAGACCCCAAACAGCCAAAGCGATTTTGAGAAAGAACAAAGCTGGACATAGAATCCTAGATCTCAAGATTTACTCCAAAACTGTAGTCATCAAAACAGCATGAGGTCGGATGGCGGAGGAGGAGGACTGTAAGCTCACTTGGTCCCAGGGACACAAGGAAAAAACACCCACATCAGTGCACATAACCCAGAAAACGACCTGGACTCTGGCAGAATTGTCAGTTCTTACACCTAGTGGGGCATAAAGCCTGGAATTTTATTTATTTTTTTAAAATATTTTTTATTTGAGAGACAGAGCGAGAATGTGTGCAAGCAGGGGAGGGGCAGAGAGAGGGAGAGAGAATATCTTAAGCAGGGCCCATGCTCAGCATGGAGCCCAACATGGGGCTTGATCCCATGAGCCTGGGATCATGACCTGAGCCAAATTCAAGAGTTGGGATACTCAACTGACTGAGCCACCCAGGCACCTGAAGCCTGTAATTCTTTTTTTTTTTTTTTATGTTTATTTATTTTGAGAGAGAGAGAGTGCATGAGCAGGGGAGGGGAAGAGAGAGAGGGAGAGAGAGAAAGAATCCCAAGCAGGCTCCATACTGTCAGCACAGAGCCTGAAGCAGAGCTCAATCTCATGAACCGTGAGATCGTGACCTGAGCTGAAATCAAGAGTTGGGACACTCAACCAACTAAGCCACCCAGGCACCACCCGAAGCCTGTAATTCTAAAAATCAGCATGAGAAGATGTTAGTAAGTGGAGTTCCCACCTTTAAAGAGATAGCACACCAAAAAGTCTTTGCAAATACAGCACTTTGAGAAATGTCAGGGGCAGATAGGAAGGAGAGTGATCGACTCACAGCGAGGCCCAGAGACACAGGGATCAAGGGAGACCCCTCCAGGAACAAGGGACGTGACCAGTACCATTTTCCTTTCCCATCCCCAGCACAAACAATGGCCACCTATGGGAATCAGCAGCACACTGACACTCTTTATGAAACTGGCTTGCACCAAGCCACGCCTCCCCCATGCTTCCAGGGATCTGTTCTTCCTAGTCACACTCGCCTCAGTCCTGGCACTGTGGGCTCCTCCCCCAGAAGACTGGCACAAACCCTGCCAACACCACATCTCCGACCCACGTGTTTTGAAGGACCTCAGTTCCAGTGGCAGCAGGGGAAGGACTCATTCTTCAAGCAGACCACTGCATATCTTGTTCTATCGTGCCCCACACCTGCTGGAGAACAAACACTGCCCACAAGGCAGAGAGAGCCTCTGCAGACAAGCAGACTGAAGGAAGAAGAGGACAGGGCCCAACAGCAGGGCACACAACTCACCTAGGAGACACCCCCTGAAGTGCCAGGCCCTGCGGAGCAGGGGACACTGCACTGCCAGGCACAACAGGGCATCTTCATAAGGCCACTACTGTTAAGAGCAAGACAAGTAGCTCACTTTCTAAACACACGGAAACAGATACAGAAAGTTGGACGAAATGAGGAGACAGAGGAATATATCCCAAATGAAAAGAAAGGACCAAACCACAGCTAGAGACAAAAGTGAAACAGATAAAATAAAAAATACAACTGATGGAATAAACAGCAGACTAGATGAAGCATAGGACCGAATTAGTGACCTGGAAGACAGAGTAACGGAAAGTAACCAAGATAAACAGGAGAGGGGAAAAAATTATGCAAACTGAGAATAATCTTAGGGAACTCAGTGACTCCCATCCAACAGAGTATAGGGATCCCAAAAGAAGAGACAGAAAAGGGGCAGAAAATTTATTTGAAGAAATAGTAGCTGAAAACTTCCCTAATCTGGGGACGTTAACAGATGACAGATCCAGGAGGCACAAAGATGCCCCTCTGACCCAAAATCAACCCGAGGAGGTCCACACCAAGATACACAGTAATTAAAATGGCATTAAGTAGTGATAAAGAAAAAAAATCTCAAAAGCAGCAAGAGAAAAGACATTACACACAAGGGAAATCCCCACAAGGCTATCAATGGATTTTTCAGCAGAAACTTTACAGGCCCGAAGGGAGTGGAATGATATATTCACAGTTGAAAGAAGAAAACTCTGCAGCCAAGAATGCTCTATCTAGCAAGGCTATCGTTCAGAACAGAAGGAGAGATCAAGAGTTTCTCAGAAAATGAAAACTAAGAAAGTTCATGACCACTAAGCCAACCCTGCAAAGAGATATTAAATATTAAAGGGGACTCCAAGTGCAATTATGAAAAGTAAAAAACACAAATGCAGTAAAAACAAGTGTTTGTGCAAAAATCAGTCAAGGGATTCATAAAATAAAAAGAGGTGCAACACCATGGGGCGCCTGGGTGGCGCAGTCGGTTAAGCGGCCGACTTCAGCCAGGTCACGATCTCGCGGTCCGTGAGTTCGAGCCCCGCGTCAGGCTCTGGGCTGATGGCTCAGAGCCTGGAGCCTGTTTCCGATTCTGTGTCTCCCTCTCTCTCTGCCCCTCCCCCGTTCAAGCTCTGTCTCTCTCTGTCCCAAAAAAAATAAACGTTAAAAAAAAAAAAAAAAAAAAAAAAAAAAAAAAAAAAAAAAAAAAAAAAAAAAAAAAGAGGTGCAACACCACATACTTAAAATGTGAGGGAAAGAGATGTTAAAGAATGGGTTCATATTTAAGTGATGAGTCAACTTAATATAGACTGCTGAATGGAGAAAATGTTATACACAAGCTGAATGGTAACCACAAGTCAAAAATAATAGATAGTAATAGATAATAGATACACAGTAATAGATACACAAACACAAAAAGGAATCCAAGTATATCACTAAAGGAAGTCAACACACCATGAAAGCACGAGAAGAAAGGATCAGAGAAAATCTATGGAAACGACCACAAAACAAGTAACAAAACAGAAGCACACACCTATTGATGTAGAAAATGTTGGGGTTTGAAGCCGATGGCCAAGAAAGAATTCATGAGGTGTGTTTGGTGCAAAAATTTGGTTTATTAAAGCCCAGGGTGGGACCCATAGGGA